CCTACAGCCCGTCGCTGCCCCTTCCACTGCTCCACCAGCCTCCCATCCTCCCCTCTTCTTTCACACAACCTCCTGCTGGACTCCTGGACCTTCCCTCTAACCTCCCACAGCCCCTGCTTCCCCTTTCTCCACGACCAGCACCCCGCACTCAGTCACAAACACACAGTCACAACCCTTTCCTCTGAGACTCTAACATCTTGCAAGCTCTGGTCTGCAGAGAGAGACAGAACTGACTCTTTTTGGGTTAATCTATGCTAACTGCAATGAGACTAGTTTAAGCGAGCCTGAACTGGGTCCTGGTCTGATGTCATTGTGCACACTTGAAGTAGACTCGGATGGGATGTATTTGTGTCTGTGTAAGGACACAACAGCTGCTACTTAACCTGAACTCTTGAAGAAAAGCTCGCTCACGCACACACACACCTATACATGCACTCAGGCGCACTTTAGGGTGCACAGACACAACAAACATGTACACTGCACCAAACTAACAGGGTGTATCTCAACAGTCCCTCTAATGCCTTTTCCCCATCAAAAGAGACAACTCCAAGTATCTTTTCAATCCTGAACTTTTCCTTTAAAAGCCTGGGATGAAGCCACACTCTTTGATTGTCTACGAAGCTTCACCAGGATCCTTACCGCTGCTGCTTCACCGACAAAAGCATGAATGCCTTCCCCACCCAGGATTCCAAACTACGCTACTCTCTTGAGCACCTGAGATGAGCTCTTCAAATAGATCCTATTTTTTCAACAAGTTGACATCTAGAGCTTTCTGTCACTTGAGAAAGTCCAAAAGTGTGGTACTGTAAGATTTAAGAAAGCATAGACAAGAACTAATCAATTCCCTCCCACCTTTACATTATAATATATATTTTGCATTGCCTTGCTGCCTTGCAATCTCAATAGCATCTGATCCTAAGTTAGCTTGGTTATTTATCTTTCAAGATAAGAAGCCTCAACATGATCCTGATGGATTCAAAACTGGACTAGCCTAGCCTAAGTTCAATTGTACAATCTGGCACTAAAGTGATCACTTCTTTAACCCCCCCCCCGTGCCTGTCTCTACATCTTACCCACCATGCATTCTTAACCAGTGCATGCTAGCACTAGTTAGGGGAGGGGTGTACAACTAATTTCCCCCACGGGCAACATGAGAAACTGAGACTGTTTGGAGGAATGTACCGATAAGCCAAACTCAGTTCTGCTGGGAAATAACGTCAACTCTGTATATGCTTATGGGGCGCAGCCCTTCACAACAGTCCCGATTACTCATGTGGCCCTTTGGGAAAATGAATTGGCCACCCTGAATTAGGAGGACCTCAGGGAGACTGCCCCTCTTTCAATGCGATTCAACCTCACTAAATAGAAAAGTATTTGACTTTAAAAATAAACAGGAGAATAGGTGATTTTATTTTTTTCTGATTAAAAAACGATGGGAGGATGAGAATATATACAAGGAAGCAAGGAGATGTGGCGGAACAGATCTAAATGAAGTTATTACAGATTATAGAACAATTCATTGAGCTGTAGCTCCTCTTCTCCTCTGCTCCTTGTTCATGTCAGTGTTAGGAACAAGAGAATCTGAGATGAATAAGAGATGTTTGGTCATTACTGCACTGAACCTGGACTTGAATGTGAAATGCCTGCCTATAAATACACACAGGCTTAGTACATATGTATTTAACAGAATGATAATGCTGTATTATTAACTATTATACCAATAAATTGATGGTGTTTGCATTATAATTTCTGAAGTATTGTCTTTTTTTTTGTATAACCCCTTTTTGAACTATGACCACTAGATGGCAGTGCTGTGTAAGACGGTTTTAATGCCCTGCATGTTTTGCAGCAATGCAGTCTGGGCAACATCACCCCTGGGATATAAGACAGATAGGGTTACTTGTCTGGTAGTCAGCACACTTGAAGTTCCAAGAAGCAGTTCAAACATTTCACGGTAATCACCGTGTTGATTGTTGCACCATAGCAGCTGATCTCTAGCCATGTGCAAACAAGCTTTTAATCCAACCAAACATCTTACTTGTTGCACATAAATTTATGTAAGGAACTGATTAACTCTATTAATCATCTAGCTTTCAGAAGATGTTTGCAAAGATCTTTTCATATGTACAATTTAATCTACACATGCATCAAGAAGAAACTGTAAAGAAATCGATTCCTCACACTGTAGTTTGTTAACATTTTTAAAACAAGACATCAGAACCCTGAAAATTAGACTTTTAGTGTCACAGGCAGGTCTTTGGACTGCCTTTGCTCGGAGAAAAATCTGAGGGGTGTTATGAAATGAGAGGGAAAGTTATATTTCCATATTAAGGTTCTGCTATCATTAGATATTTTCCATTTATTACCCATTCATAATGTATTTGTCAGCTTCCTATCTGCATGGCTCCAAGATCAATTAAAACAACTAAAAGGGCTTTCTTGCAAACTCTCAATAGGTCAAATATCTGGGTTTCCAAAAGTGAAACTAAATGAATCGAGAAAATCCAATCATGCCTGTACACCCAGAAACACTCGCACACTTCCCTTTCTCTTTAATGTCTGGCATTTCTGTCCAAACAAAATCAAGTGCAGTCTGATCACAGATCTAAACAGCTGCAGTCTCAACCTTCTGATACAGTACATCAACTGGTGTGCACATTTGATATACAACATTGCCATGTGGTGTTGATTTGGTGAAGGCAGGGGTGGGGGGTAAACAGGCAGCAGTGAGTGATTGTGGGAATAGTTGCAAGTGTGAGTGAAGACTGTGCTCTAATGCAAAAGTACCGATTAGGTTCTTAGAGACCTTGTGGGCCTGCATTGCAAGGAAATAGATAAACTTCACTTCCAGCCAGTACATAACCTCTGCTTGAACCTCTAATTGTGTTTTAGTTAATCTTGCATGACTCACTACGACTATCTATCTCTATCAGTCAGAAATTAATATCTGCCTTGCTTCATAACCTCCAGCGCAACAGTCTAGTGAAGATAAATAAGACTGCCGTTTGCAGAGAGAAATAAGAGACTGATTACACATACAGGCACGCATCCATAAGAGCAAACGGTCATTGTCGCAGGTGTGGGCCTACTGGTGTTGGCCAGAGGGGCGGATGGCGCGATATGGCAGCCTCGCTTCTGTCAGTCTGCTCCAGGGCAGCTGTGGCTACAACCATAGCTGCCTCCACCAATGTGTGAATGCGAGAGTGAATGAATAGTGGCATTGTAAAGCGCTTTGGGTGCCTTGAAAAGCGCTATATAAATCCAATCCATTATTATTATTATTATTATCTGTGCATTGAGTCTAAATGTTATCTAAATTCCACTTATCATACATTAAAAAAATAATTCCTGGTTTGGACCTCATCTGATGACACTAGCTGTTGTTCCTGGCCTGCAGTGAAGCAGCTATCCAATTTAAAGGATCATTCAGAGTTATAGATTAAGCTAAGCCTGACTGAGATGTTACAGTAACATGGGAACAATTAGTCTCAGCACGTGCACATAAACACAGTGTGTATTCACTTAAAACAGTTTTTTAAACGACATCCTGTCCATGCAATGCCCTGATTAAGGAGGACCGTGTGTGTGCAATAAAATTCAGAACTTCATTAAAAATTATCTCAGGACATTAACCAGAAGAGGAAGGCAGTTTATGTCTTCATTAAGTGGATAATATACAAGTTAAGCAGCTTGGTTCCTCTAGGCTTTTCTCTTTTTATTGCTCATGAATGGTTTTATCAGTGCACAAAAAGAACAAATGAGGATTATTTTGAGAATAACAAGGGGGTTTAGCAATCTATACAGTGGAAGTGAAGCTAATGTGTAACAGAGTTTAGATATCATGACTTCAGCATCACTAATTCCTATACACACAGACAATCTTCCCTCGTGATTCTGTTACTTTTGAAAATAAAAACTATGATATAAAACAATGGCCCATCCTGTTTTTCTGTCTGCTCACCAAGACAAACATCCCATGCTATGGCTGCCAACATTAACATGAAAAACACACTGATCTGGTCCCTATTCAACATGAGAGCTAAGAGCTGCACAGTTGTATGTCATCAGTGCTGAGTCTGACCAAACAGAACAAAGAAGCCAGAACGACACACCCAGCTATTTACTTTAGTGAGTTATAGGGATAAATCTTCTTCCATTTACTTGAAAATAAAATTTTAAGATACTAAGATACTACAAACAACGCATCGGTGACATTAGCAGAGTGTATGACTTAGTCTTTTATTGTGCCAAGAACAAATCAAGCATGAGGCACGGTTGTGCTTTAAATTAAAACGATGATGAAATTTGTTTTATAAACATTTAAAGTCATTTTAATTACCTGATAATGTATGTATTATTAGTTGATTTAAAGGATTGGGTCCTGATAGATAGATAGATAGATAGATAGATAGATAGATAGATAGATAGATAGATAGATAGATAGATAGATAGATAGATAGAATTTTTTTAAATTTATTACTTTACTACTTTTTCACATCACTGTAGATAGATAGGTCGATCGATTAAAATAAGTAAATAAGACAATAACCATAGATAACTATAATAACTATAAATAAACTTATTGTACGAGTCACTTATTTATTTATCCATTGTGATATATTTTACTGTAGAATTTTAAGTAAGAGATTAGGCTTCTGTTTTGTAATTTTGCGCAATGGATTAATAACAATAATAAATATTAATGAAAAGGGGAAATATATATATATATATATAAAACAAGCACAGCAAAATATATCCCAATAATATCCCAATAGCTTGAATTAGACAGTTTGTTTAATAATTAAGCCTCATCCTACACTTTACCGGTGCCATGTTTTCAGAAACGCGGTATCTTCAAACAAACAGCAATACATACGCTTCGTCTACGTCACCGCTTTAGATGATTGACAGTGAACCGCAGCGAATCTGGTGTCTGTCCGTGTTTTGCATGAGCCAATGAGCGTCCGGGAGTCATTATTTGCGGAAGTTATTAAACTGCTAGCAACACTGTGGGTTTGAGCTACATCTTTAGGATAAATTGTCACGATGTCCGCTGTTAAAATTCACAGGAGACCTTTTAGGTGATGTTTGTAGTAGAAATGGGTCCACTTCATGTTGAGAAGTGTCCTAAAATGGCTTTGCTTTAATCCACGTGGATTTCGCGTGTCTGCCTGCCTTTCTGTGCATGTACACACATTTGTAACCATTTCTTATAGCTTATATTCTATACCCTCGAGTTAGCGGTCGCTTGGCTACTTTTTATATTGGCCCCATGAGACGTAGCGAGGACACGGAGCAGCAGGTCTGGGAGTCAGAGGTCGACATGAACCCGCCAAAGCGGCTACGCACCACGGAAACACTGACAGGAGGCAAAGAGCGGGAGGTGGAGAAGAGCACTGTGGATGTGGTGGGTGATGATGACTCAATTTAATGTCGATATTGACATTAAGGAGAGTAAAAGTTATAAAAAGTGATATGGCCAGTATTACCACCCTAAATAGTTTGTTTACTGAGTATACAGGTTTATCCTCGTCTCTATTTCGGTGGTGTGGCATTTACTTGCGGTTTTAATTTGTTAAGAGCAAACTAATAGAGCAACAGGCTTGTCTTCTAGAGATACAGGGCTTGAAACGTAAATATTTGCTATAGTTATTTTAGGGAAACCATTACAGATCCTAATAATGAAAGTGGCATCTGTTGGGCTACACCAGTCAGCCACAGTATTTAAACAGTAGATGGACAGATGAATAAAATAACCACATATTACAGTGTAATGCACTCGGAAACATTGAGTGCTGGTATTTATGTGACTCTCACTTTGACACCCACACAAATGTTGTCGCAAACCAAGCACTCCCCAACATCAACGGCCTCCAATTCAGCACAGGGCACCTAATGACAAGATGGAAAAAGCAAAACAAAACTGTTCCATTAAAAATGAAAAAGTCCCTAAATTGTTTGCCCAGTTTCTTACCCCATGAAGGATTGACATGAAGTCTGTAAAACAAGCCAGATTGATGGAGATCCCACCCCAGAAATCCAGGACCCACTGCCAAATTATCAGCACCAAGTACCACTTATACCCCCACATGTCCCAAGTCTATACCTTAGTTGTGTCAGTTATTTTGGCAGCTGTAACAGGTTCAGTATAATATTAGAAAGCTGCTTGATTGGTCTGAACCAAGTTGTGCCTAATATACTGGAAACGTTGTACATATAGACACTGGCAATTTCAACTTACTTACTATATAGGAGTTTGACTTTTGTTATTTCCATGCCCTTTTGATTAAAGAAGTGCTACAGTTGCAATTTTACTCATTTTCAAGATCACTTCCCTCCTGCACTTCCAGTTTATACCATCCTGCTTGATTGTTGTTTTTGTGGTTGCCAAAGCAGCAGTTGAACTGAGTGTAAACTTTCTATTTGTGTCTTCTTTACTCAGAGTATTGTCATGCCAGTGTATAATGCATCATGCTGGCTGGATGAATGTCTGCAGGCCATATTGGTCCAAGATTTCTCTGGATCCATGGAGCTGTCGGTGTTTGATGACGCAAGCACCGTAGGTTTTGTAGGCATATTTACACAAGTGAAAGAATACATTGTCTCATAGTTTGAGACATCACTTAACTCTTATGCATGTGCGTGTCTTTTAGGATGACTCGAAAAAAGTGGTGGAAGGTTGGAGGGAGAGGCTAGAGGCAAAGGGCATCTCAGTGGTGATCTCTGGTCACAACTCTGAACAACCTAAAGGAGGTCAGTAACTTTTGGGATATGATCAGCAGTCAGTCCACGCTCCCAATCAAATTATGTGACCTTTATTTTGTAGTTGAACATGAAGGCCTTAATGCTAGTAGATGCTCATAATTCCCGTAACATCTTCCCAGTTGTTCCTATCACCATTTGTGGCAGCTAATGATATCAAATGAAAGCCATTGTTACATTCCCCAGAATAAACCACGTCTGAGGTGAGTGATGACAAGTTTCTGGGGAGAAATGGAAAGTATGTGAAAGAAGGGGGATTTATTTACATGTAAAATCAGTTTATATGAACATGGTTGACATAAAGACCAGCCATGCAGCAGCCCTTATGCTGAAACAACCAAAAACAAAGGCAAAAGTTCAACCAAACACAATCTCCAAAGAACGGTGAAAGCTACTGAGCTCATTAACAAGAAGGCAGCTTGAATGCTGCCAAATTGGCCTACTGGCAGTAAATGAGCCATTTCTAACAGTCTTTATACTCTGGGCCCTGCTGATCAGTAGTGGGATCAGCTGCACTGAATCTGCACGTTCAGCATTTCACGAGGGTTATTGGGTTGAACAAAATGTTTCATTGAAATTGTGTCCAACAGGCTTTGAAGTACTTTTACTTTGTTTGGTGACTGTCAGAAGCGTTACACAGTTGGTAGCGAGGTCTGTATACAGCCCACTGTATTAAAATAAGCAGTTCAGACAATAAGTCAGTTTCCATTGGTGCAACAGCTTATCAGGGGCCGTTTAAGATCTGGTCCTTAAAATCTTCCACTCTGTGATGAGTGTTGGACTTACTCTTGTGAATGCTTAATTAAGGAGAAGTGCAGAAATACAGTGCAACCTTTAAGAGACTTTTTTTTCCGTGACTGAAACAGGAACTGGTACTCTGCAGCAATTTATACTGATTTCAGATGGTTGTGTTAAGTTCTTGTCTGTTACTTATTTGTAGAATGTGCATTGTAACGTAGTGCAACACATTTCAATGCGCTACAATTTGCAGTACATTTGAAAGCCCTCAAGCTAGCAGAAATGTAATAAATGAGCCTTTACTTAAGCGCTTACACACCGGCAGCGCTTTTTCATGTTGTCTGGTTTGACAGTTCATTAAGAATCCAAGCACACATTTAACTGTCTCACAAAGACATATTTAAAACCGTAAGAACAAATAAGCATGAAATGTTCTTTTGTCTTTCAGTGGGATATGCAAAGAATAAGGCCATATGTCAGAGTCGTGGGCAATACTTGTGCTTTCAGGATGCGGTGGGTGTGACCAAGTGTGCTTCATATCTTTCATAACACATACAATAGTATGTCCAAAATAATGAAATCATACCGGGGTGTTCAGTTATCCAGAAAATACATGCAAACACAGATCTCAGCAGTCAAGTTACCGACTGATGGGCTAAACATGAACATGAAAGAGAAGTTTAAGTTAGATTAGGATAGCTCTTTTTTTGACACAGTGCTTTGTAGCTGCTTATCTGAAACACTCATCTGACACACTCATCTGACACAGCCAAAAATGAAAGCTCCAAACATCTGACAATCTTCCAACCTCTGATCGCCTCTGGCTATATTTGTTCTTATCTTTCGGAGTCGCATCATATCAACTTGGCTGTTTTCTGCTAACTTTTCACAGAAAACACTCAGTGCCTATGAGATTGGTTTATCTGAAAGCAGTCAACTAGTTCTGTTTATTCTTGTGACTCTTTTTCTGGTAATGCTGATATACTGATATATTTTACCCTCTTAAACTTTAAATACAGCCTTTATCTCAACCACGCTATGAAGATAAACTCTTGTTCTGTGTACATCAAGTTTTTTGCCTATTTTCTATCTATCATTGCAGTTAGACAGACCCTCCGAGATTATTAAAAAATTGTTTTTTATCTTAAAATGCTAAAATTGTCAAAACTAACAATAGAAAATTCAACCTAAACCATTTTGACCAAGCTCTAATATAGTTCATTAAGTGCAAATGAAAAAGAATTGTGTGTATTGTCCATTTGTTGTCACATGTTATTGGCATAGACATTTAAAATAATTATTTTCTTAACTTTAGGATGACATTATGTTGCCCCAAAGAGTTCGTCTGCAGTATGAGGCGTCCGTCTTGCACAAAAACACTGTAAGTTCTCTCTTAAGCGTTTGCTTAATCACTTCCTTCCCTGTCTTTTCTTCTCACTTCTCTTCCTCCTCCTCTCTACCTTTCCCTCTGACTATCAGTGTTAAAATGAAAACAACAACAACAAAAAAGATATTGTTTGTAAGAGTGAGCATGTGCATGCGTGCGCGTGCTGCTGTACAGTTGGCATGTAGAACAGAGTGAGTATCCGGTGTTGATGCTTTCTTTGACCTGGCAGGTCAGGGGTTATAGGTCATGTGTGTGTGGAAAATAAGGGCGACAGCATAGAGACAGCAGGCTTGCTGTCCTCCATAAACAGCCTGCCTGGTTCTGTTCCAACTGTAATTTTTTTATAGTTGTAGGTGAAAAAATGGGACCCGTATTTTGTTTTTCAGTTTTCTATAATCTCTCTTTATGTATCCTCTGATTCTGATGTAATTCTTTCTTTCCTTTTTTTGCTTGAATATGTCTCATAGGAAACACGATATGAAGCAGTAGTTTGCATTATTTGGGTGAAATGTATTAGAACTTTTAGATGACTTATTAGTTATTCTGCCAATAATATCTTAGTTTTTTTATTATCTGAAATAAAAAAATATGTTAAACAATTCTATTAAACTTCAAAATCAAGTTAATATTTCAAACTCAGCCTTCAATCTGAAGCATAATTACTCAAATCGTTGGAAATTTGTGCAGCTCGATTTACAAAAAAAACAAACACAGAAGCTCTCTGATACAGAATTTTGTCTAAAATGATTGAAAATGTTTTGGGTGGTTCTTGGAGTGAAATTTTTTATTTTACTCACAAAGTTGTGTATGTGTGTTTCCATGATAGCTGATTGGCTGCAGAGTCCAGCGAGTACCGGAAGGATCTACAGAGCGTTACACTCGCTGGATCAACACACTCAGTCAGGACCAGCTCATCACACAGGTAAATGAATGCAGCTTAGCGGAGCATGTTTTGATTGCCGACTAATGTGTTTTCGCATGCATATGTGAATGCGTGAGGTCACGTGACAGGCAGCTACTAGGTCAGTTTGAAACAGGATACATACCTGCTGTACGCAGTTTCCACGGAAATGTGTTTGTGGAGTGGAGAGAGGATGCTGCATCACTCCTGACCTCTCTGTCTATCACAATCCCAACAGAGGAAACAGACCCCAGTGTCAGCTGTCTGCTGAGGGCAGCCTGTAGTGGAAGCTGGTAAAAGTTTTGAGCTTTGTGTAGAAAGCCTTGTGCAGCTACCAAATCATCATACACAAGCACTTTAGTTTTATTATACTGTAAAGCTGTCTGAAAAATTGAGTACATCATTTAAAAAAAATAAGAAAAAATAAGAAAACAGGTAGCTCACTACTCAATAAACCTACAAGCTTCAAACGGTTTCTGTGCTCCTTGTTATATTTCATACATTGACGGCATCTGCAGTCATGCCAAAGGACTCGTTATATATATGAACCCTGTGATTCAGTAGCTTGTAGAGCCACCTTTTTAAGCAATATCTTGAAGTAATTGGTTTCTGTATGACTTCATCGTTTTCTCACATCATTCTGGAGGAGTTTTGGTCCACTTGTCATTACAGCGTTGCTTCAGTTCATTGAGGTTTGTGGGCATTTGCTTATGCACGGCTCTCTTGAGGTCTTGCCACAGCCTTTCAATCAAGCTGAGGTTGGGACTTTGACTGCGCCATTGCAGCACGTTGCTTCTTCTTGGCTGCTGTGTTTGGGATCATTGTCCTGTTGCGTGACCCAATTTGGGCCAAGCTTTAGCTGTTGGATGGATAGTCTTACATTTAGCTCTAGAATACTTTGGTATACAAAGACTTTATGGTCTACTCAAGGTGCCCGCGCCCTGTGGTTGCAAAACAAGCCCAGGTCATCATCCCTCCACCAGGGTGCATGTCAGTAGGTATGAGATGTTTGTGCAGATATACTATATTAGGTTTTCATCAAATCTGACACTGTGCATTATGAATAAAATCTCCATTATTCTATTAGTATTGTGGACTCTTCTACCGTGCTCTTTTTAGAGGGATATAAGCCAAATAAGCCATGTTTGTTCAGTCTTTTTCTAATTGTCCTATGATGACAGTAACATGTAAGTTCCAAATTCATTGGTAAAGGGCTCCATAAAGACATAAAAGGTAATGGTGTTAAACATTCTTGACCTAAGTGCTGACTACATTAATGAAATTATGATTTCTGTCATAGATGGGAAGCCATAAGGTAACCAGTGAATACACCCTGATAGATGCATAACAGATGCACAAGCTGTTGGCCCTGGCAAGAGGAACTATGAACTAATCATGAGCCTTACTAATCACTCAAAGCCATGAAAGCATTTGGTCACTTGACCAGCTTGGCTACGTTTTTGCTGTAATTTATGACTTTATGCTTGTACTCATAATCAAATATAGTGGGCAAGATTTGAGAGTTGTGTCCACTTGTGTTTGCCATACAAGCGCTCTAAATAGGCAAATTCCAATACTTATTCACACTATAATATAAGTATTGGAACATTTTTTTAGAATTTCTTTGACGATGTGATCAAGTGAAAATATTTACTTAGTGTGTTTTTAAAAAGTTACATTATTCACGAAGTAATAAAAAAAAACAGTGATATAAAAGTAAAACCCCTGGAAGTATGTCTGTTTTTGAAGAGATGGAAGTCTGCTGTTTCTGACTTAACAAAACACGCTGTCACTAAGGATACAAGACAACCTGGACTGGCTCACTCTCCCTAACACACACACACACACACACACACACACACACACACACACACACACACACACACAAGGTCTGCATAACTCCTTAGCAGACATTCCAGGATATTTATATGATATTAAGTTTCATGGAGCATGAGAATGAGATCATACATTGATTCTGCAGTCTTAAAAGCCGCTCCTTTTCCTTTTCCTTCCCCTTCTCTTTCTTGACTCTATCTGCCTTTGCTTTTACTTTCTTGACAAAGAAACTGGACTTAACCGAGTTAAACTTTAAAATTTACATTGAGCACTGCTTCTTTTACTCTAACATTCATCTGTAGGGCATTAGATATGGTTGTCTAAAATGTTCTCTACCCCTCTGATTACTCACGTTCACCCTAATGCTCTCAGTCTTTCCCAGAACTTGGTCTCTTATTCATGCTTTTGGCCACAGCTTACATCTGCAAAATGTTGCAATATTACTACAGAAAGGCAAAGAGATGCACGTAGGCGGACACACACACATGCACACACACTCATACACTCCAGATTCTGTCCAGCTGTTCAACTGCCTGGATCCAGATGTTTTGCACAATTATTTTCATCTGTGATGCATTTCTGTTACGCAGTAGTATTTCCACTTCAACCATGAACAATCACACAAATACAAATGCATATGCACACAGTGTGTAAGACAGAGTGATGTAGTGGGAGAGGGAAGTAGGACCACCTGAAATGACCTTTAGATTCAATATGCAAAAATATTACTGTTACAAAATGCACACAGAGATGAGGAACAAGCAGGGGTGGGGAACTGAGAGGGGGCTGGGTGCTGGTGTAACAAATGAGTTGGGGGCCTGCATCTGTAAAAAGAGAAAGAAATATAGTGGACATAATCCGATCTTTATGTATTAAAAGAGTTTTGCGGTCAGAGAAACGAGGAGAAGCCAAAACAAACTCATTAGTCAAAGAATCATATGCGAGAGGATGGAAATGTGTATCCTTCCCCTGCACACTTCAGGAAGCACACACACTGCTTTAAGAAAGCACATGTGGCTGCACTCTAACCTATTTTGTTTTCAGGAATAGAACTAAACTTCTCCTGAGTGCAGCTTGTTGCTTAAATACTATTGCGAAATTTTTCAGAGCCAGTAGCTTCAAAATCCATCCAGTAAAGTTCGCACAATGTGAAATAACAGAAATAGTATAAGAAAATAAAAACATAGTAATTAATAACCTTTATTTACTGAAAGTGGCACAAGAAAAAACTTTTTTAAAAATGTGTTGACGTTGCCTGTGCTCCTCCTGGCACCCTGTGAGCTAAAGGTAAGAACGTGTAAAACCAGATGCATTAGATACATTCTTGAATAAAAATGTGCATGAAAACTTTTTCAAATGAATCTCAAGCACAGCAACACAAACAATTAATTTAAGTTGGACGGTGTGTAGCTAATATGACACTGTATATTGTCTCTTTATTAGGTTATTGACCAGAATATACTCCTACAGATCTGCCACAAACTGAAAATTTATGAAATTCTAACAGTTTGTCGGTTTCAGGTGTACACCTCCCATGGGCCCAGTGTTGTCATGCCAACATGGTTCTGCTCACGGGAATGGTATCAGAAAGTTGGGCCGTTTGATGAGGGAGGCAAGGTAAGCATTCCTATTACTCAAACTGACTCTCTGAGGTGTTCACAAACCCACTTTGTTGCTCTTGTCGACTCACCAAATGTCAGAAATAATAGTGATCGGTCACCTCTATACACCTGACCTGTCACTTCTTGAATGTATGAATTGGTTGTGAATGTCAGAAATGGACATCCACCTTTCCATCCTTTCCATCCTTTCCATCCTTTCCCAGATGGAAAGGTGTGGAAACGGAGGAGTTTTCAGACACTGTTCGAGCAGCTGATAAGAACATCCTTTAAAGCATTCGACTTCTCACCCCTACTCATATCAGCTGTTTTCACACATGAAAACTAGGAAATTCTGTGAAAATCCAACTGAAACCTTGCCTGACGTTTTCCTTTCTCACATCTAGCACACTGCTAAAAACACAATTGTTAAATGTTCTCACTATCAAAAATACATTTGATATCTGATATATAAGCCCAAATCCAAGAAAGCTGGGACGCTGTGGAAAATGCTAATAAAAACAGAAGGGAATGATTTGCAAATCCCGTAAATCCATATTTTATTCATTATAGAACACTGAAAATATATCATGTCATTTTACTGTTCCATGAAAAAGTGAGCATAACAACACAAAAGGTTAGGACAGGGTTTACGAAAGGCTTGAAAAGTAAGTGTTGCTAAAAATCATGAAACTACAAACAGGACAGACAACACCCAGGACTGTTAACCAGCTGGAGTCTTATATCAGATAAGAGTGCAACACGTTAATCTCCCAAACATCCAGCAACTGGTCTACTCCTTATTTGTGGACTGTTGTTAAAAGAAGAAAGGAACCCTTAATGTTAGCATTTAAATGTTGCTATATTGGATTTTTGGAATCAGAATTTACAAGATTCAGACTAGAAGGTAGTGTGGCAAGTTATCAGCTAGCACTTCCAACATGGACTAGATGGTCTTTATTTAGCCGCATACCAAGTCATCTTATTTGTCAGACAATTCAGTTTAAAAAGCACCAAATATTCAGGAGGTTCAGTTTAGTGACTCGGATTAGTGGAGGTAAGGCCTAGCTGCAGCTCTCTGTGTTTGGGCATATGTCATATCATACCATAATTCTTCTTCTCTGTCTCCAGGGAGTCCCAGAGGATCTTCTCTTTTTTTACCAGAGTCTTCGTCATGGTGGGGGTCTGTTCCGGGTTGACCAGTGCCTGCTGATATATCGTTATCATGAGAAAGCAGCCACTCACTCCGTAACTGAGTCAGTCCAACCATCATTCCTCTTCAGCTGCATTCACACACACATACTTGGACATGGTGTTGATCCTCCACCTACTCACAGCTGCCCACTGGCATCCCAGATTTTCTCAGAGCTCACACACAGATATACTCACACACATACACAGACACGTGTTTTAGTAAGCTTGAGTTTGTGGAATTTCAGTCACTTTCCCAGCGTATGAATCAGGAATTTCTATGCGTTTTCTTCTCTCTGTGGAATGCTCAGTATCTGTCCAGTGGTGCTGGGAGGGAATCGGATTGCGTTGTGAACAGAAATGTTTGACATATTGCGTAGCGTTGTGTGTGCGCGCGTGCACGCGTGTGTGTGAGCACGTGTGCATTCCTGCTGTTGCCTGTGCATCAGCATGCAGTCTCTGCAGGTGTGTGGGTCTGTCTCTAAATCTAAAACACACCAAAGAAAAAGATCTTTCCTGCCTTCTCTCCACTCACACTGCCTAACCTTTCATCCCTTCTTTCCTGTTATCCCACCTTCCTTCCCTCTTTCCTTCCTTTCTCCCTTGCGTCTAACCAGTGCTCGTATATCTGCCCGTGTTGACGCACTCCTTCACCAATCATCCTCCTCTGTCTTCATCTATCATCTATTTTTGGAGATCTATTTCAAGCTAGCTGCCTTCCACTCTCCCCTACTTCTTATAACCCCTTCCCATGTACTGCCTACTTACTTCCTCTCTTTAGTGAAATGAAACCATTATCTTATTTTTGTCTATTTACGTCGATCTTGCTCATGCATGTAATTGTAGATGTGCTAAATGTGAGGTGTCAAGTCTTTTAAAAGATACTGCCAAAAAGTAACTGAGTTGGGAGGCTTACTTACACAGAAATGCACTGTTTGTAAATGAGATGAAAAGGTTTGTGTGTAGTTAATCTCTACCATATTGCTGCCCTGCCTTAGAATCAAAGCCTGTATAGAGAATGCATAATAACCAAGGAATCTGGAGACCACCCGAGCTCCACGATGATGGTGGAATCGGGTTTGCTTGCCATATGAGGCCCAGTGCTTAAAAAAGTAAGAAGTTCGCATCAAGAGATGAGAGTGAAGCACTTTCTGAGAATGTCTGCTTGATTTCTCATTATTAGTGCCTTTGTTTTAAAATGTGAGTAGAAGGGGGTTAAGCTTGTAAACATAGACAGATTTAATCTTGAGGGTGTGTGTGTGAGAGAGAGAGAGAACCCTGTACACAGTTGTGCAGAGGTTACAGGAAGTCAAACTAATTTACATGCATAACATTTTCCATCTACTTAAAGTAACAGATCACAACTTAATAAATGTAGTACTTGCCGCTTTGTAAAGGTATGACACCGAAAGGATGGTTTAAATTTGTAGCTTTAGCTTTCATTTGTATTCACTGATCATTTACAATAGAGCACAACTAAGTTAGGTTGTCTCAATCAGACCGGTTGTAAACAAACTGACCAACATTTCATCAGCTGCTTTTTTTTCGATCGGTCATTGGAAGCTCTGTTTTGTACCCTTACACTTGCTCCTCCTCTAATCCCAGAGCTTTTGCAGTCAGTGTAAATGACGACTGCTCAACTTAAATCTAATTTTTGGGGAAGTGGATGAAGGGATTCAGATCTGGCGAGAAGGGTAGGTAATAAGAGAAGAGGGAAACAAGTGGTTTTGATGTATTTTGACTACAGCACATGTTACAGTTCACCAATGGTAAATATTCTTCCTCAGCCACTTTAAGGAGTTACAGTAGAAGTCTTTGTTTTTTTTTGTGGGAGATTAATTGAATCTAGGAAAGTCAAATACACAACAAACATACTCGTAGAGTCTTTTACTGAAAGCTGTTGTTTAGTCCTTAGCTCATAGCCTAAGAGCCAGCTCATGTCACTAGTAGTGACTCATAATGTGAAAGTTTGCTCATTTTGACTCAGTAGGTGATACTTGCTCTTTGAGCCTCAGTGTGAAATCGCAAGTACAAGTGGTCAGAGTGGGACTTCCAGAGAGAAATCTCTAAAAAACAAACAAAAAAACCCCAGAAACTGTTAAACGGGTTCAGAGGGGAGCTTCTCCCAAGACCTTCAGCTTCCTTGAAAGTGTTCAACCTGCTGCTTAGATTCAACTGCTTCTTTCCCCACACTAAATAAAAAGAATCTCGGAGTTGTACCAGTGACAGTCTGATTAATTTAGACTTCTCTGGCCACTCTGTTCACAGAGAGACTATTTGGAAGCTGCGAGTAGACTTCCTGCAGGAGAGAGTTCTCAGCCAATGGGAGAGCTTCACCATATGGAACGCTGGTAAACAAGGCCGAAAGCTGTACCGATCGCTTAGCCCAGCCAATCAGAAGAAAGTATGTTGCCTTCAGATGGAAATAACCAGCCAAATCAACCTGCTTCCTGTGTCTCAGTAGATACAGATAATGAAAAAAGTTGTGAAATGGGTGTTTGAAATTAGTGTCATTCTGTTATTTTAGGTCAAGGCTTTCTGTGATGTGGATGAGAAAAAGATCCAGAAAGGCTTCTATACATACGAGGAGTCCAAGGTGAGATCATATTTGTTACATTAAACAGGTCTCCAAGATGGCTTTATTCCAGTGATTTATTTTTTATTAACCTCTCTCGTGTTCCCGTATCTTTCTAGGAAAGGCCTAAGCCAAAGATTCAAGTTCTGCATTACAAAAACGCCTCCGCTCCTTTCATCATCTGTGTCAAACTGGTGAGCAAAAAGCATGTTTGTGTGTTGTATGTTTGCTGTTTCTGACCATCTGTTCCTCAGGTCTGTAATCTATGTTAACAACATAATGATGAAGGGCGTGTGCCCACTGCACGACATAACACACACAAACACAGGAGAGGCTGTCAGGAAATGGGTAGAGACAGCAGCCTGATCTTTGATCACACGATGCTTGTACAAACATTACATGTTTTTGCCACTATTGTGTTTGCATATAACACATCATGGTTTGCATTTTATGCTCCAGATCGTGGCAGTACACATAGGCTTTACCTAGAACAATGGCAGTTTCTTTTTATTCATTGGTTTTCAGTATGTAATGACACACACATCCATTGTAGCAGTTAAATCACGTAATATCTATTTATCACACAGCCAAATTCAGATTCAAATCTATGGTGACCCCCACCCCACCCCACCTCAGGGGTCTACTAATTGCTCAATTATGGGAATTGGGAGAAGTAATCAGAGTCGGAGGAGATGGAGACCTGGACCCAATCATTCTCTCTCTTGTTCTCTATGACATCCACATAAACAAACACCTGGACTCAATCACACTGGGTTTACACCCAGGTGTCAAATATTTATTATCAGCAAATATATTGATTTCAACTTTTCTCAAAGACTCTGGTTCAACCTAAATTCCTTTAGTTTAGTCAAACATTTATTGTTGTATTTCTTTTGGCTTAAAGCCGAGGGAGTCTATCATGTTTTTCTATCATTGGTCAAATTCCATAAGGACCTTTTAGCATTTTGTAATTCAAGTAGCCTCAAAAACAAGACTTCTGCAACTCCTCTTGGATCTGTTCAGGATTTTGAAAATTTGGCCCTTGATAGGAGAGTTTGGTATTCACAAGAGACGGGATGTTCCAAAAAACTTTTGTTCAAATCAGGCATTCCTTCATATAAAGGAATGCCTGATTGAGTGGCAGAAAATCCTGCAGGAAAATTTGATATTCCAACATTAGCAACAGCTGCCTGCACTGGAAAACAAAAGAAAAAAAAGGAGTAAATCTATCAAAACAAGAGTGTCAAAGATGGTCTGATAAGTGCAATAAATGTGCTAATATCAGCATTTCAGAAACATTTCTACTGTATCAGCTTCAAAATGCACATCGAGCATGTCATTCTTTTCTTGCATAGTTAGTCTGTTAACCTTACTTTCACATGCAATCAAAGGTAACAGCTAGCTATGTAAAAAGCTCAATGACACAGTGACACTCTCCCCCTCCCCCCAGTTTAAAGACAAAGCTGCAGGAAAAGGTTGTTTTCTCACTATTTATTTCCTTTTCCTTCTTGCTTGCTGCTGCTTTAAGTAAGAAATACCAAGTCAAAAGAATTCTGAAGTCCACAAACCCTGATGGCTGATTAGTCCACACTTGAAAGAAAATGATGATGTTTGTGAATGAAAGTTGTGTTGTAGAAACTGTGGCCTGCCATGATGTTTTCTGTTAATGTTCTTTCTCTCGTGGCATCTTTTCATTCGTAGGACATGACTGGAGGCAACCTGGAGGAAAATCTAAATTCTTTGCAGCTGAAGGAAGGAATAGATTATTACCACTTCAACTGACTGTTCAGGGAGATGGGGAAGACTGGAGGAGGCTTGCAGGTTAACAGGCAGTGGAATGCAGAGGAATACGTCACTTTCACATATATGCAAACTGAGAAGTAGGCAGGTAATAACAGGAAAAGAGTGAACACTGGAAATAAGTGCACATTTACAAAGATGAGGGTAGGAGATGGCTGTCGTGTATTTTAAGTCTTAAAATGGGTTAAATGCCATTTTTTGTAGTTTCACTTTGATATATCGGCTAATAAAGTCACAACAGGATATCCCAGCTCTGACTTTTTCTGACCCTCTCCTTAAGCATAGCACAAAGGTTTGTAAGGCTAATTCCACATTTCTTGCTGAGTGATGAGTAATGGTTGATACCAGACTCATATATTACAAAAAAGAAAATATAAAACCAAGTGAAATTTAACATAGCTTAATTTAACAACAATTACAGCCTAACACCTTTGAGTCTCCTCATCTTTAATACATACAAAAATGTACATAACAGGTCAAATGGAAACAAAACAATTTAGTGTCTTACAAAGGTGGGGACAGATTTACTAAACAGGCCAAGGTGTGGTTATTTTATTGATTTACAAAAAAGGCACTAAGTTCATTTCAATATCAAGCGCAAAAAATAAGACCTGATTTTTTTCAGAATTAAATAGCTGCGCAAGCAGTTACTGACATGTCGTAAACATTACTAAAATAGTTTGGATGCTTGATTTAAATATTCTCCTCCCTTTATTTTGTGCCTTGAGAAAGGAACTCCCTGAAATACGCATGCAACAGGTTTAGCTGTGATAATACACTAAGCTAAGCTGACTGACTGCTGACACGTTTATTATTATTTTAAATTAAAAAGCGTGTATATTTCCCAAAATGTTAAACTGACACTTTTAAAAGCAAAAAGTAACGATGAACTGAACCACAGCTGAAAGAGGCAGCACAAGGGAAGATATGAAATGATAGAAACAAATGTGAAGATCTGAAACCCTTGTACTTTACAGATGACTGTTCTATATCATGCAAGAGGACATTGCCAGTGTTCATTACTGAAGGAATAAAATATCACACAGTCTGTGTGAAGCCAGTTCGATAATTGCCAACCTGTATTCTTGAACTTGTAACTGAAGTTAAAGGGAAGTGCAGTCATGACAGAAAGTACAATTTATAAAGGGTGGGATGTTTTATGACTACATTTCTTAACAATTGTTCCCTGATGCAACTGTGTAAAATCAGATGCACGCACACATCTGCAAAGAATGTGCAAACACAGATTCAACTCACATTTGTTTTTCTTTCCCTGGGTCTCTTATGAAATCTAAAGAACAATAACCTCTTTAAGAGGGCACAATTTTGATACGTAAACACATAAAAAAAACATTTATGTTACCTCACAGAGTGAGGAGTTTTTCTGCCCAAAGGTAAACAGACCTATCCACACAAAATATCCCCCAATGTTTGCTGGTTTGGCGTCGTGGTTTGCATTACTGTAAATTTGGCCACAACAGTTTAAAGGGCAGCGATGGTTAAAAAAACGGTCGTCATCCCTACCAAAGTTTTATTTTCGCTACCTTTGTTATCATAGGCACAAAGTGACACATAATCACTGCACCACATTAGTAGGTAGGATTGGATTTAGTGTTGGATAAATAGCAGGAGTGAGTCAGGTTTGAGGTGAAAGCCCCTTGCCTCTGCCACCCACACCGCACAGTGCTTTGTTTGGGCAGAGAAAAAAAGATTCACATCCACTTAGCCACTAGCTTCTATCTACACCCCCTCTTCCCTCTCTCCTTTAAACTCAAAAACTTAAAGGAACAGTACAACCAAAATCAGATTTACCCATTTTCCACCTCCACCCTGGAGTGCGTTTTATCCATCCAGATTGTTGTTTTCATGTCAGTTGCCCCGGCTGTAAAAATGTCTGTCTTTGATATAATAGAGCTAAATTAATGGAGTTAAATGGCACATTTTAGTGTGCTGGGCAGATTGTTGTGTCCACACCAATGACCTAGGTGATTAAAAAAATCCCGTAACACAGAATGATTTTTTGTAGGAATTATTTTCTTTCTACTGTCCATGTCCACCGAAAAAGGAGAGTGCAGCTAGCTGATATTACATCTCAGCTGAGTGTGGGACACCATTAATGCTTATGTCCTGCCGAGCTGTCGCCTACTTTTTGTAACAGGTGGATGTATGCTTTGTTCTGCAGATCGATAAACACAGCTGGTATAGTTTTTACAGTTTTGATCTCCATAAAAAAAAGTGCCATTTAGTTCTTTTATATTCAAGAGAGGGGTTAATGCGTCTGTAGCTGATTTCTCCAAACAGAGTGACTCACACCAAAGTAATGTAAAAAACCCAAAACAACAACAACAATGATTTGGAGGTGAATTTTCCCTTTAATCAACAAGGCTTTTCCAGAGAGAGACTTTGCATGTGATTTGGGGTTTTTTACATAAATGATTTGCCGTTTTGTTTAAGGTGGGGCATATTTGAAACGTAACATTTATCTGCTTCCGAATGCAACCCGTCATTCAAAGTATGTGCAGTCATAAAACTGTAATATTCTTTGGATGAATGAACACAAAATATTTGAGAACAAGCTGTTTAAGTAAGACCGCATCCTGTCTAAATAACGCACTTTTTAGCCAGTCTGCCCTCATGATGAAGCACTTGGTGGATGATCAGAGTGAGCTCTAATGGAGGATCTATGAAAGAGAGTAAACAGAGCTTTACTCAGTGTATACACTCTGGTGCTCTGCAGACATCAGACCTCATAATGCACACACACAAGCGGACCGAATGACCCCGACCCTGGAGCCTGCTTGCCCTCACTGGTCAAATAAATCTACGCGTGTGTAGAAGAAATATACACACGCATTCTTACACAGCTGCATGAGCTCTGGCAGTGCAGCTGATAAGAAAAAGAGATAAGAGAGTGGAGTGTTTGAATGAAGGGGGGTCACGGGTCAGAGACTGAGGGCTTTTTCATTCACCTGGAATGATACAGCATTCCTTTGTTTCGACATCTCCCTCCAGAAGAGGTTTTTGTGTCTGAAAAGGAGATGCACATGCATGCTGTGTAAAATGCTGCACTATAAAGAGAAAGCACACTGACTATTTGCAATAATTACCATCTGTTTTACCTTTGGAAGTGTTATGCAATAGCAGCGTATAATCAAATTAAAAGCAACTAACTGGGCGGTTCGATTTTTAATCGAATCTCTACGGAGCCACAAAAGGTCTTTGAACCTTATGATGAAGGCAAAGCAGCCTGTTTAACTATAAATACTTTGGCTCTTCATTTTCATTATTACAATGTCATGTTTTATGGCAATTATAGGCCTAAAATAACAAAAACTGATAGCTTTGTTAATTTTATCACCAAATAGGTCCTTTTCTACGATTCTTGAGCACCTACAGCACTTTATACAACATGCTTCATTCACCAGTGCACCTTTTTTTCTATGTCTAAATTCTCTCTAACTCAAATGAAGACTTCGGAGAGCAGCGTGGGGTTCAGTATCTTGCCCACGGATAGTTTGGCATGCAGACTGGAGCAGTCACAGATAAAACCACCATCCATCTGATCACTAAAAAACATGCTGTAACTCCTGAGCTACAACCACCAGCAAAACAGAACTACTGTGAAGTGGAAGGAAAAATATCTATTTGCATGTACATTCCTACTTTGAAATAGTAACTACAAAGCTGGTTGGGCTGGTCTGATTGGCCACACAGAAGCCCTTCCTTATGAGGTTTGCATGTTCTCGCTGTAGGTGTGTGGTGTTACATCAGGTACTCCAGCTTCCTCCCAGAGTTAAAAGACATGTTAGGTTAACTGGTTATTCTAATTTGGCCACTGATGTGAGGTATATGAAATGTTTCAAGTGTACAGAGTAAACCTCTTAACAAATGTATGGTCAAATGATCACCAAGGCCAGAAAATTGCTAGACATTTACAAGTCCTTAAAGCTAATACCCTTCCTCTCGACCTCCACACATCTGATTCCATTGCACTGTTCAAATCACGATTAAAAACCCACTTATTCAATCTTGCCTTTCCCTCTAGTTAATATTTATTTTATGATTTTATATCATGCACTTTTATGCTCATTTAAATTCTTGTTTGCTCTGTACCCGTTGCTTTCCTATGTATCAGTGACAGTTATCTGCTTGCATACTTAGTACTTGCTTTGGTCCTATTTCTATTATCCTCCTCCTATTCTCTATCTTACTTGTTAAGCACCTTGGCATACCCTTGGTTTTTAAGTGTGCTTTATAAATAAAGTTTATTATTATTATAATAGCTGAAATTTAATTTTTACTCTGACATGTACCATTAAGACCTCAGCATCATTAGCAGTGAAAGAAATCAGGCCACAAAATGTCAAATACTGATTTCCTCCATGATGTCTTTGGGATATGAAATCTATAGTCATGCAGTCTTGGACATGACTATCCAGAAATGGATAATCTTGTGCAAGACTATGCTGGCATTTCTGTGTATACATCCACAGTAGCTACTGCCATTAAGACACTGCAAAATTAATTGGATCGGGCACCAGGTGATAGGTGTAAACCAAGACAATTATGAAACATTTAAAAAATTTCAGAGTACCTCAGGTTACTGGCTGGTAATTAAACATTTACACTGCATTGAATGACTCGAGAAAGAAGAAAATTGTGTTTGTAGAAATTGTGTTTATTTATTTTTGATCAGTTGTAGTGATGACAATTCTGCTCAGCATATATGGTAAATGGCCTGCATTTGTATAGCGCTTTTCTAGTCCATAGGACCCCAAAGCGCTTTACACTACATTCAGTCATTCACCCATTCACACACACATTCACACACTGGCGATAGCAAGCTACATTGTAGCCACAGCTGCCCTGGGGCGCACTGACAGAGGCGAGGCTGCCGGACACAGGCGCCACCGGGCCCTCTGACCACCACCAGTAGGCAAACACGGGGTATAAACAGTATAAGAAAACAAATCATTACAGTCTACAGCGAAGTAGATGCTCAGCCCAAAAATCATATTCCTCACTTTCACTGTCTCACTGTCTTCCTTTGTAGGGAAGCATGAAGTGGTGTTTCATTGGCGTGGGCTCAGTGTTCCTTCCTTTTATTCAACAGCTACTGTCAAGCTGCCATGCGTAAATTAGGATTTCTTAATAACAAAAACAAACCAAAAAAGACTGAGA